GCCTTCTGTATGCCCACAAAAGAAACCAACCTAAATTACTCCTCTCTGAAATAATGGCTGTCAGGTGAAAGGCTTTACCTTTCTAATCTTTATATTGTCTTTTTCTATAGTTGGGTTATTCTACATGTAAACAAGCTATATTCAAACCCCCAGATTTGTTGTTTACTGCTCACAGGTGGAGACCCAGCTGTCTTATCTGCAGTAAGCTAGGTGCACACAGTGTCTGCTGTAGTTAGTACAGATTCAGCCAGAACTGGATTTTTTAACTGCAGACAACAGTATATTTCTGCTACAGCCCCTGATCTTTATCAAATGACCACCAAAAATCAGTAAGAATATTTTTACTGCATTCCATGTGAGTATGGGGTCAAGCTTGTAAGAAACGTCCTCATATATACAAAGCTTGGAGAACATCTAGAGATGCCCAAACCCTGATGGAAAACTTATTACTGGAATATCCTAAAATCTCTAAAAGTTTTTTTTTTTTAAGTCCTTTCAAATTTTCACGTGTGTGCCAGTTGAATGAACAATAATAGGGGAACTGTAGGAGGAATAAAGATGCTAAAATATGATTATTTTTTTTAAATGCCATGTTACTTGGAAGAACATGTACAAAAATACATCTCACTTTCTCTTATGTTCACACAGTAAAGGTTTACAATAATGCTCTCTGTGCATCTATGCAAATACTTGAAGAATGCAATTCATTGTGCCTTTTGCCTAGTTTTTAATAAATTTGTCAGTTGTCATTAACAAATGTTCTGTTACTATGTGATTTTTTTTAACATCGGTTCAGTCCTTCATTTAAAATGTGGCTTTTGTCCAGAGATGGTAAGATTTCTGGGGGAATAATATTCCTAAAATGTATTTCTAGGCACTGAGAGCAACGAGTCCTATTTGCAGTCTATTTCTAAAATAAAGCATTGTGCCAATTAGGATGCCAAAATTAAAGCTGGAGAGAATTACTTGGCTTATTTTCTGTGACCGAAGGAGGGCGCTGCTGGCTTACTCTGCCCTAGTTGCTCTATGCTTTGTTCAGCTTTCCTTCAGTTTGTTCATCCTTTGGGGCTGTACCAGTAAAACCAGCGAAATCATTAATCTCTCAGATCCACCTTCAAGGGTTTTTGAAAAAGTCTTTATTTCCCTTTACACCTTCAAAAAAACAAACAAAAAAAAGTACTGAAATGTTATTAAAATAAGAGCTTGTATCCTCCTCCCACCTCTAACCGCAAGTCACGTTTCTTTATTAATATCCAGATCGCCTAAAACGAGGTCAGCAGCATCCTCCAGACTGTGTAATCCCAGCACACCTGGATTAGGCTTTTCTGCTCCCGATTTAGGATCTGCTGTGAGAAAATGGGCTCCAGTCTCCCTGTTCTATGGGACCTAGCAGCAAAATGGGAGAAACTTTTAAAAGCAGTATTTTTTTTCCCTTTTCCTCCTCCAAGCTCAAAATGTTATTTCTTCCATCCCTTCATCCCCACCACCAATGCAAATACAAGGGGGTGGGAGGTCGAAAAATGACCCGAGAGCAGGAGTTCATATAACATTTAAATCAGATCCATAGAGATGGAGGGGGTGGATGGGACCACTCTAGGATAAACTGCAACTTGACAGCTCTGCAGAGTATCGCCCACCTAGGCTTGTTTGGCTTTTAACATGCAGCTCAGATTTCCCTCTAAACAAAAACAACTTTTCAGCTTAAATGATAGTAGGACAGGTAATAGGAAAGCTGAAAAGCAACGGTAAATACCACCTCTCAAAGAGCTGGGGGGAGTTCTCCAAGGTTAAGACATTTGTACCTTAAAATTTACACCTGTTTGATCTTTCAGGCTGAAAATATTTTTCATTGACCCCAAAAAAATCCTGCAGGTGTTCTCCTGACATGGGGTTTACCTGTCAGAGCTCTCCAGCCTGAGCAGGGGCTGTCCCTCACTCAGGTGAGGTCTAGATCAGGCTCTGTAGCTTCACCAACAGCATCAACACAGCCTAGGCACTACGGTTCCTAAGGGGGAAAAAAATCAGAACAAACCACAACACATAAAACTAATTAACACTGTGCTGCAGGGAAACTCCTGCACCTCACCAAAAACAAAAGTGTAAAAAGATTTCTCTTCCATATGCCTGCATAAACACTTTATGGCTTAGGTCCTGCCAGTGAACACTTATTCCAAAATTCACCATATTTTACCACTATTCTGAATTCATATTTGCAGAGTAAATAATTAAACATGGATGAGCAGAATCTGAATAGCAGGAGTACATCCTTCAGTCCTTTTCTTTCACCTCCGTTTGAGATACTGGTGTGTATTTTAGAGTTCATGCGAGTGTCTAGAAAGGAAAAAAGCAAACAAACAGAAAAACACTAATCAGTGAATTAATCAGGGTCTGGAAATAAACATGTCAATGGTATCTCCACCCAGGGGAAGGAGTGCAGAGCAAGCATTAGCCCTGCAAACAATAAGAGATGGGAAGGGGAATCGAAGAGGGGTTTTGTCCCTGGAGCATCTGATTTCAAGAAGATTTTCATTTTCAATGGCTGTGCATATTAAAGCCTGGTGACAATTAAGCATGCCCCATGACAAAGATCCTGTCTAAAACCCACTGAAAGACTTGGCTTGACTCTGCCAAACCATGGATAAGACACTGCTGGTTTTAGCCTTTGCTGTTCCTTTTTTAAATTGCTCAACAGCGTCTGGAATACTGACATCAACCCAGTCAGAGCAGTTTTCACCCAACCTTCAAACACTTGAATACAAAGTGCTAGGTATAAATCATGAATACTTTAGGTTTATCCTCTGGAGCGATGCTGGAGTTGTCCACCTCTATCAAGATGTTCTTGTCATCTCGGGTGACTGGTGCCTGCTGCTCGTTCTGGAGGATCTGTGGCAGATTCCCTAAACTGACATCCATGTCTTTGAAGGCATGGAGTAAGAAAACTCCCAAAATGATGGTGAGGAAGCCACAAACTGTCCCAATGATGTCCACTACGGTCATGGCGACCCATTCCTTAAAGAGGATGATGGAAGTTGTGATGACGATGGTGGTGAATAGCACATAGTAGATGGGAAACACCAGTGAGGTGTTAAAAATGTCTAGAGACTTATTGAGGTAGTTAATTTGGGTAGTGATAGATGCTACCAGTGTGATGACCAAGATCCATGTCAGTGGGTGCTGCAGCACAGGCTGGTCAGCAAAGAAGCCCTTGATGGCAATACCCAGGCCCTTGACTGAGGACACGGAGAAGGCACCGATCACGGAGCAGATGGTGAGGTAGATGAGGATGTTGCTCTGGCCATAGCGGGGTGCGAGGTAGAAGATCAGGAGGAAGCACACAGCCAAGAGGATTGCAGCATAAGCAAGGAAACCTGAATGGGGAAAAGAAACAACAACTCAAATCTGGGTAGTAGGCATGGGTGCCTGAGCAGTACTTACTGTCAAACCCTGAGAAAGAAAATACAACCTCCTACATACCTGGCTCTTTCAGCTTAGACAACATTTCATCCAGAGTGGTGACCTCCTCATCCTCTGGAGCATGTATCACCATCATGGTGCTCCCCACAAGGCTCAGCATGCAGCCCAGCTTTCCCAGCAGGTTGAGCCGCTCTCCAAGCAAATATGATGACAGGATGGCACTGCACGAACAGAAAAACAAGGTCTGATGGTGCTTTAAAGTCCTTAAAGCTAAAATAACGTAAAAGACATGATACAAGGACACCGATTTGTAACAATTTTGTTAGATTGCAATATATTAACACATATTCACATTGCATCTGGACTTGCAGAGATGCAGCTCTGCAGATCATGGCTCACATATCAGCAAGGTGAAAAAATACTTAATGTGTTAGCACATCTTCAGAGAGATTTTCGGGGGTTCTAGATTGACTTGTGAACTTTTGGGCATTGTGAAGTCTTTAGAGCCCAAAGAAGTGAATTCAAGGAGCATTGCAATAGAGAGAAAAAAAATAACCACAAAAGAGCTATGTTAATTTTAACTTGATATCAGAAATATTAAGTCCAGAGAAACTCGAACATAACGTGGTTCTCAATATGTCTGCAAAAAAATATCTAGCTGTTTTGTATAAAAGTAAAACACTCCAGGACAAGATACCACAGCAGTCCTAAGTCTCAATTTGCTCATGCATTTTACAGTAACAGTCCTTCCATATGACCTTCAGTACTTGGAGCCATTTTAGCAACAGGCAAAATTTTAAAGACACAATATCAGAGCACCTTAAAAGCCCAAGTAAATAGAAGGCAAACATAGAAATACAGTAAAAATCAAGCTTAATATTTTTGACACTTTCAGATTTTTAGTTCTCTTCATGACAAGAAAACATATATAGAGAGGGAGAGATGTATATTTTTACTGGCTAAAGAGCTAGGATAATGAAAGAAGTAACACTGATAGTTACAACAATTTTGCATGGAATTGTGTGCAGCTGCTAATCACAGCCACATGCAATATCTCAAGGGCATGCTACTTAATTCATTGTTTTCTGAATGATCCCCCCAAAGGACAGCAACTGTTACTGTATTTTTTTGAAAACACCAAGACGTTCTTTCCTTTAGGCAGAATAAACCATATTAGCACTATTTCAAGTCATCCTGTCTTAAAAGACAAGCAGGCAAATAAAAGATGTCCAGCTGCAGGCCATGGACACGTAAATCACCTTATGAGCACGCTCAGGGCTCCCAGAGGCGTGACAATAGTCGCAGGAGCAAAGGCATAGGCGGCAAAGTTGGCAGCTTCCCCTCCACCCACTAAACAAACACAAGAAAAACAAACACCAGTGAATTACAATATACTTTTTGTGCTTTCTCTTGAGGGCTTGCAGACTAGCAAGAAGTCTACTAGAGAGGGGGTTTTACGAGGGTGCCTCTTGCAGCTTCTGAACAGGGTCAGATGGTGGTGAAAACATCCCTGGTGCAAGTGATGCAAGCAGAAGGGCTGGGGTGATGGTGCCAGGGCTGGGCCATGTCACAGCTAATCCCAGTCAGCTCATTAAGGCCCCAAACCCAGCCACACAGCTAGAGCCCATCAGGGGCTGTAGCGAGTGGGTGGGCAGCCCTGGGAGCTGGGAGGGCACAGGCTGCTCCACCTATAAATGTCCCCTCAAGGGGTAGGGGTACCCTTTGGTGGAGCTGTCCTTGTTCTCTGGATTGGAAGCTGTGGCCTGGGGGGCCTCTTGAACTGCTGCTGGGGTGAGAGCTAAGGAAGACTGCTCTGAAGAACCTTCTTGTGAGACTACTGCTCTCTGCACAGCTCTGACTCAGGTTTGGAGAAATACTCTAATGTTACAGTGTGTGAAGGCTTTGAGGCTTGTTCTAAAGGAAAATAAGTTTTCCTTACGAAGGGAGCTGCTACCAATGCCTCATTATCTCCCCTATGCTGCAGCAACAACCTTTCCTGGTGACCTGAGGCACCCACAGGAGATATTTGCCCTGTGCATGGTACACAGGCATACCAATCAGCTGCCTTATTAAAATCTGGCTTTTCATGCTTTTGATGAGGTAAAGCTGAGCTAACAAATCCTACTGCAGCCCTCCTGCAAGGCTGGTGGATGGTGACAGAGATAGTGTGAGGCCTGCTGCCTCTGCTTGCCTTAAGAGGCCCAGGGGAATATCAGCAATAAGGCCTCGTGCCACCAGATGCTGGACTCCTTCCACACCTCGTGCACAGGGACAGACCCTGGAAAAGCTGCAAACCCAGGAAAACAGCTTCTACTTACTGGTTAACAGGCCAGCCCACCAGAGCCAGTCCTTCAGGTAGCCGTGGCCTCCGTCTCCTGGGGAATCGAAGCACACAGATATGCAGAAATTAACGATAACGTTCTTCAGAGCAAGAGGTGACAAATGGTCCTCTGGAGAGGATAAGTTACAAGAAGTGTGACTAAAAAAATGTCCTGGAAGGACAGAAGCTGCAGACATGCCATCCTGCATGAAAGTTATGCTGGGTAAAGGGATGAACAGAAAGCGATGCTTGGGGCTGGATGATGCCAATACAATAAAAGCAGCTGTTTAATCCTGTGTGGCAAAGGGAGTGGTATCCATTGCTCCAAAGCAACAGAGATTATCAGCTTGGGGTGCAGCAGCTGCCCTTCAGCCCTTGGCAGCAGTGGTCATCTTCACTGGTTCATCGTGGTGACCCTGTGCCCTGACCCAGTAATGAAGGCCCTAGCTCAAGTTCTGTGGGCTCATTGTGCTTCACGTTGGATGTCCCACTGACCTGCCCGCCCCGTTCCCTGGGAGGAGGGATCCTGGAGCAGAGGGATGAAGGACAGAGGGGGCTGCTCCACACTGGGTGCCCCCCACCCAAAGGACTGTTCCCCAGGGAAGCTGCTGTGCTGCACCTTGCACCCCACTGGGCTCGCTGTGGAGTCCTGCACATGGGTACTAAGGTAAGGCAATGAGTTTTTTCTAAATCAAGCTCAAGTCAAGGTTATGGCTATGTGAAAGATAAAAGGAGAGAGCTGGCTGGTTGCATTGTCTGAGGTTGTGGTAGTTCATGTTGTTGCATTATTGTGGTAAAGGCTCCGGGCATTCTGTCCTACAAGGGCTCTGCTTTTTTGGTGCGTTGTGTTGTGCGGTAGGGCTTCAGCCCAAACTGTCAGAAATTCCAAGGTTGTCTTATGTGGAGTTGTTGCTTTGTGACTGTTTCTGATGACAAATGATTCCTGGCATTGTTGTACCTCAATGAAGGAAAACATGCGTATAAATGAGGAAAAAATGGTCATAAAATGGTCATATTGTGTTGGAACTAACCCAGCTGTGGTCTTAAGCTACAAGTTATGTTATATGGTAAGAGCCTGAGCCTGTTAACATTGTGAACTCTTTTTACTGGGTCAGAGAGCCCATGTGCTTGCTAAGTCCAGCCTTACAGGAGTGTCAGTAACAGCACAGTTTGACCCCCCCATTGGAGAAATGGGATGTACTCAGCGGGGCTGAAGTACTAGGACTGAGATAAGGGAAAAGGAGGATGAAGGTGTGGATAAGAAAAGCTTGAGATATGCAGATTTTTTTTTTGCTAGAATTCATCCTCTGGTTTCTTAAGTTCACAGATGCTGGAGTTCAAACATTGTTTTGGTATTCCTTAGAAACTGCTGTTTGTTTTTTTTTTTTCTGGAGAATTCTTTGTTGGCTGTGATTTTTGTCATCAATTCCTGGTAAAATATTTTGAAAAATGGGGGGGGAGGTTTGCTCCATTTTACTAGCTTGGCTCTGTTGTGTGAGAAGTTGATGTGGGGAGGGAGAAGAGGGAAACTTGGCAGAACTGAAACAGCACTGATATTTCATTGTGTGAATACAATGCTGAAAATCAAACCCATGTGATTTTGGCATTTACATGTGGATGGCTTAATGTGTGGGATGGGGATGGGAGCGGACTTGAGACTGGACTGCGGCTTAGGTGCTACTGGTGGCTTTGCTTGCCTGTGGGTTGAATGTATGGTCATTTACCTTCTCATGCATTTGTGTCCCCATGTGGAGACAGTGATATTGGCTTCCTTTGTAAAAATGACTTAAGAGCTGTTCCCGGACCAGGACTGGGAAGCGGTAGTATTTTAATCATCATTTTGTAGTTATGTAAGTAGGTCACCTGCCAGGTAGGACTTAGCTGCTGCTAGAGCAAATGTTTGCAAAGCTTATGGGTTGTGTCCAACTCCACAGTGCAATTCAGCTGTAGGCAGTGCTCCTCCACCATTCCCCATCCATGCATATGCATACAAACACACACCTCACCCCAAGACCTTGGTGCTAGAAGAAAGTTATCAGCCAACATGCTGAGCAACATACCTCAGATGTATCGCTTCTGAAAACCACAAGCAAGGCTTACACAAATTGCAGGCGTGTAGTCCTGCATGAATAAATGGCTCCTGCTAATACAATTAAAGCACGTGGGGATGCATTCTTGTCTCAGTGACTTGGTGGCAAAGCCTCCTAGTGCATCAATAACAGCAAGAGGGGGATCGTGAAGCTGTGCTGTTTTGCTCCAGACTGTGGTATGGTGATGATTTGCAGCATTGTGCAAAAAAGCCCATTTCAAAGAACTTTCAATTGTCTGCTTTGTCCTGGACCCATATTTTTCCATGCAGTGGGCATGTATTGCTCTTCTGAGGGGTGCACACCTGATCACACAGTGTGTGCATCTTGCTGTCTGTGGTGCAAGGCAGGGAATGCTGCTTGTAGCCGAGCCCTTCTAACATGAGGCTTTATGAAGTGGCTCCTCAGCTGCAGCACAGCATTGGTCTCTGGGTCCCATGCACAAATATATATTCACAGAAGTCATATTTACACTGCTCTTAAAAAGCTAGTGCGTGTACCCAGAGGTGTCACCTTCTGAGTGCTGGGCTTTGGACAATGCGTGCAGTTCTGGGAGCAGCCAGACCTCCCCTTCCTGGCCCCCACAAAAGCCTTACCTGCCCTGGTGCCTCCCTTCTCCACCAGCCGTAGCAGCCCCTTCTTCTTGAGGATGACGCTGCTTCCGATGAGGAAGCTGGAGAAGACAGCCAGGCCCAAGCCGATGTAGAATCCATAATTGCTTTCCAGACGAGCTACCCAGGAGGTATCCAAAGTCCCATTGTCATGGACTGAGCCAGCAGGATCAGCACCACTGATCACCTGGCACACAACGTGGTGGGAAAGGCACGAAAGGGTGAGCAGAGACCCTGTGAGACCATGGAGATAAAACAGAATTACTGATGTGACCCTCAAGTGTGCCTCTTCTAGCCCTGGGACTGCCATGTTGTCACCATAACTGCACATACCCAGCTTCTTGACACCTCCAGCTCAAACTTTGGATGCCTCTATAATCTCCCAAGGAAATGGCAGCATTCAGCTTACCAGCACTCAGCCTTGTTGATCCAAAGGCTTTGGTGCTTCCTGGTCACCTAACCCTGCATCTGCCAGCTTGCCTGCAGCTTAGTGCTTTGAGTTTAACCTGGAGCACTGCCAGCATTTTGCAACTGCAAATTTGTCCTGGCTCTGTGTACTGAGCAGAGCCACGTGATTGCTCGTATGAGGACAACAGGCTCATCCTGGACTGAAGTTTCTTCTCCGCATTGCTTTATTTTGCCATGGCTTTATTCCACTTATGGCGTAGCTGCGTGCTTGTGAAGGACACCAAGTCCTGCTGGAGTTGGGGGGGGGGGGCTGAAAGCAGGCACAGTTCTCTACTGTCCACACCAAAAGCACTGAACCTGTCCCCAGCTGAGGTGTGAGTGGCTGTGTGGGTGGGAAAATTGCTGAGCTTCCTCCTACCCTCATGTTCCTACCACACCCAGCACATCTCCCTCCTGCAGTCTTAACTGAGTGTAGTAAAGGTGGTGTGACTGTGGTCTTCTGGAGTAAAGCAGCTAGGTAGTGTCAGGAAAAGTTTCTTTCTACTAAAAGACTCGTCTTCTGCCTCAACACGTGCTGGGATTGCAGAGCAAGGATCTCTCTAGGCAGATGGGGCTGTGCCATGGCTGAACTGCTGACAGTGCTCCCCGAGTAGGGGTCCCACCTCTTCCTTGCCCAACAAAGTGCCTCAAATCTTTTGCAGCCCCCAGCCCTGTCCCCTGCGCACAGAGCTCAGGATTTGGCTCCAAACTTTTTTTCTTTCTAAAGGAAAGTTAGAAATTAGTTTCTAAAGACTTAGAATTAGTTTCCCCTAACAAAGTTACTTTTCTAATGGAAAAACCACCTTCATTGTGGAACAACTTCCTTGGGAAACACGGGGGCAATTCTGCCTCAGCTGGGTGGAAATCTCTGGCGTGCTAAAGGGCACAGGGCTATGGGATGGGGTTCGTTACCTCCCGGATTAGGCACCCTGTAAGGAAAAAGACTCAAATGCAGCTGCTGGGCGGCTGGCACGCTGCTGCGCGGTGCTCGCAGCCTGGGCTCTGCGCTCCTTGTAAATGAAGGGACTTTCCTCCGTCCTACGCAGAACTCTCCCTGCCCCTTAAAAATAAAAATACCCAACCCCAAAAGCGAACCCCGAAGCCGGGGTGAGCCCGCAGCAGGCTCAGCCCCCGGGTCTCCCCCCGCGCCCCGGGGTGCACCCACCGTTGCTGCAGCTGCCGTTCGCCCCCAGCCGCTCCATCTCCTCCGTCCTGCCCTCCGCAGGGCTCTCGGCATCCCCGGGCACCCCGAGCCGGCTCCTCCTCCGGCACGGGGCAGGCTCACAGCTCCGGGAGCCTCTTCCCATGCAAGCCACCGCCCCTAAAAACCTCGCACCCCAGCCCGGTGCGGCTTCGGGAGGGAGCCGGCTCTGCCCCGGAGCTGTCCCCTCGGGTGCCCGGGATGGGAAGAGGGAGGAGGGGGACCCTGTTTTGGGGTGCTGTGGATGCTCTGTGTGTGCTGAGAGTGGGAAAACAAATTAAAAGTAGGCAGGAGGAATTAAATCCTGAGGTCTGTCAGTGCTCCTGAACACAGCTGCTCTAACTAAGACTGTCACAGGAGGTATCGGGGTAGCAAGGAAACTTTTCAGAAAGCGTCCTGTTGCTTCAAGCTTCAGTGTTTATTATTCTCCTATTTACTACTGTGGCTGGGTTCAGTAGTTTTTAGGACTGAAGGGCAAGTTTAAGGGGGCTGAGAAACATATCACAGTGTAAGGAAGATGGATGTATCCTAATGGAGGTTCTGTGGCATGTGCAGGGTTCCCCGCATCGTGTGCTCGCTGCGAAGCCATGCTCTGTGCTGGAGGTCAGGGCGGATTTCCCTCATCTGACCTTTGAGTCAAAGAGAAGGCCAGGCTGCCGGCAAAGGCACATCTGAAAAACAAACAGCAACAGAAGGCGAGCGTGCAGCAGCAAGGGCACTCTTGTGCTGTGAGGTGCTGAGCGCCACGAGGGCAAGGCACAATTTTACCAGCAGTGGCTGTGATTTAGGGCTTTGCTGCCTCTGTGCTGAATCCCAGCCCTGAGAGTGTCATCTTCAGCACTGCTGGGATGGGTAGGGGCTCTCCTGCTGTACTCCTGGGGTGGTCCATCTGCACATGTGGGCTCCTCCGTCGCTTGGACTTCATTTTACATCACTTCATGGCTATGCCATTGGCAGTTTAACTTCATCAGCTTCCTGTCCCTGCTCCTGCTGATAATATTTGCATAATAATGCGAACATTTCAGAGGCTGTTGCACTCCAATGTGCTTTACCTTCATCTTCACCCTCCTCTGCTGACGTCCTCCCCTGTATTTGTGCACAGTGACCGTGTGTACACAAACCTACTGCTGATACGAAAGCCCTTTCACTGCAGCAGGATCCAATCGCCAGATTTTGCTGTAGGTCAGTAGTGATAAGTGAAACCAATAGAAGCTGCTTAGGTTTCTTTCAGCAAGCCTGCATTTTTAGGTAGAACCTGTACCTTTCATGAGGCAATAAAATGTAAGATCTGCAGTATTTAATGCTTGAAAACTTGCATTTT